CCACTTTAGATCTTCATTCATGATCCATATCACTTTGTCCAACAACTACAGAATTATTACTTTGTCAAACAACAAGTGCTTGCGTTTTCAAGTGTAATGCAGTGATTCTGTAATTTCCTTATTAAATTAAATGGAAAGCCACTGCTCAGTTGCTAAATCACATATGATTGTGTTTAAGTAGCCTATTCCTCATACTGTTTACCAAAATGTTGCAAAATGTAGCACAATTTTTAAAGTGCTGCTGATGTTGCCAAATGACTGAGTGGGTGTATATATGAGGTAAACCACAGAGACACACAACACCAGTTCCCACATTATCATTTGTGATCCAAATGGGCAGAAGGTGAAATCACGTCGATTTGAACTATGTGTGCTAAGAGGCCACATATCACGCGGAAAGGTGGCCTCATGTTTGTTCGTTTTCTTAGCATTTGTTATGTTCCCCTTGTGAGCTGTCATGGATGTTGACTTTCACAAATATGCTACTGTTGATGAAATTCAATGAGTCATGATGAGTGATCTGGAATTGGTTAATTTTGAGTTAAATTACAACTATTTATCCAGAAAAGAATACAGAAAATGGGAGTTAAAGAACAGAACAGAACAGAACAGAACATAGGCTTAAAACAGACATCTGACTGTCCTGGACACAACAAATCAGATTATGTTGTTGTAAGAGGAATCATTGTGCTCCATCAAACATCTTTTCCCCCACATTAAGACGACTTTATTATTTTAAACCAATCTGACAGGCATCTTCTGTAATAATGGCTCTTGTACATCTGTCTGCTGAAAAGCAAATGACATCTTGAAAGCTTTCCTGTTGTACCGAGATAACTAATCAAGATCATGCTGTGTCCAGAATAAAGACTACCCACAAAAGAAATTATAAAAGTTGTTCGTGTCGTGTGGAAGGAAATTAATTATGTGTTTGCAAAGAAATTAACCCTTTTGTCAATAATGCATTCACAATAACATGCGGGTGTCACGCTCAGTTGCAGGAAGGAACAAGAAGATGATGATCAGGTAAAATGGATTTAATAATCTACACTCGAAAAAGTTGGCACGACAGCCCGCGGTGGAGTCGATAGGAGCCAAGGTTGATGTGGCCAACGATATTCGCGGGACGGTCGACGGAGACAAAGCCGATGTTAAGGGACAACTTAGAGCCGAGAACCGAGCAACACCCCTCGCACTGGAGACCTAGGCAGAGCCGCGGCGAAGAGTGTCCAAAGTGGAACTAGAGCGCCCGAGGGCTGAGGTAAAAATATTTGTCAGTCAAACCCGCCTCATTTCCTTTAGTCAGGAGGATTTGTGTGGAATACTATAAGCGGTTTGTGGGATATGTCGATGCGACGTCTATCTCTTCTGTGACAGGCTGTGTCTGCTCCTTCAGAGGAGGCCTTCCAGACGGGTGTGGTGTAGGAAATTGATTAAAGAAAGACACAGACAAAAAAAAAAAAAAAAAAAAAAAAAAAAAAGACGCTGATTAGTGTTTTCCTGAGACGTTACTCTGGGAGAACAGAGGAAGCTGAAATAATCTAAACTGTCCTTTTCTCCAGAGGTTCTTGAGATTCAATTTTTGATTCGTTTTTTCATTTTATATGTGACCGCTTGCCATTATTGCAGGAAGATTTCTCCAGAATCTCCTTGGTGCTGCTTTAGTTTTTGATGAAATAAGAAGCGTATATCTTTGGTGTATAACTAATGGTATGACTAATGATAAGATTTGCTTTCAATGGCAGTGTTTGGTACTATCTAGCATTGATGACATTGTACAAGTAAAAACAGCATTTCTGAGAATATTTTGTGAATAAGGAACAGACACAACAACAGCAGTCTTCACTAAATATGAAATACCTTATTTAAGTAAACTTCATGAGATTATAGAAGTAGCTGTTTATGATAATAAGCAGCAAAATGTAGACAAAATGTAGACTTACTCCTACTTGACACTGATGTTAAAATGGGTAGTCTGGTTGGACGAGCCAATGAGTAGCTTAGAACATGCAGCTGGTTTCTACTTTAGACTTACTAACTAGTTTAGACCATCTGATGACCAGCTTTAACCAGCTTTTGACAAGTTTAGACTAGCTTATGACCAGGGGTTTCATTTATAACGGTTGCATACGCACAAAACAGGCCTTGAAAGAGGCGTACACGTATGACGCATAAATTGTGATTTAAAAAAATGACTTGACAGGGAAATCTGCGCACATAGACGCAAACTCTGACCCATGCGTAAGAACATTCTGGAGATGGAGCAGTTTGGCGACACTAATGGTGAGCTGGACTTAAATGGCTTTTTGGTCACTTTTAGACAGACATTTAAAGAAAATGACACATATACAGCAAGATAATACAAATATAATTTCACTCACCTAGCCTATAACTTGAAGCAAACATCCGTCCCTTCTTAAATGTCCGTGCGTCAGGCTATTTAGTGAAGCTGACTGCTGTAACTGTATCTGACAGCAGATGAAAGAAAACCGTAAATCTTCATTTTGAGTACTAATCATAAATACAGTGCATGTCCTAACTTCTAATTTCAGTTTAGCAAATTCGCTTTCATTGTCTTTCACAAAATCAGGGCCAGGAGGCATTGTAGTAGCCTATAGTGAGGAACTGAAAAACTGGATGCAGGTGGAGCCGCGACAGGTTGTCGTGGAGAAGGTGCAGCTGTTGTATAGATGTAAGGCACTCTGGGATGCTGGTAGGTTGGCGTGGGAGCTACTAGCTGGCAGTTCCAGCATCGTCATAGTGTATTAAGCAGTAGTGGCACAGCTCTTGTAGCATGTTGGTGTTGGCGCACGGTGGCAGGTAACATACCAGATGAAATTTGTTATTGCAAAGGGGGTGACGTGACTGGCTGTGTTGGTACGAAACCAGAGTTAAAGTGCTCTGCCTCTGCAGTGTGTGCTTTCATTTATTTGTGTGGGACTTACATGTCCTTGTCCTTTGGTATGTAACTCAATGTCATTTGACTGTGATGAATAGGAAGAATGACTTAATGGATGACATAATCCATGGCGCTGATTTGATATACAGTAAACTGAATGTCAAACATATTAACTTTCTCTTTTCACCCAATTACCTCTAAGACATTGCCTTTCAAACTGACCTGTGAGGGACCAAGCTGGCAGGCATGAGGAGTCAAAAAGTATATTTTCAAAAATATAAGTTTTTATTTCCAAAACAAAAAAATATAATATTATTTCACAAAAAACAGAAAGTTCTGGGCCCAGGTCAACTAAACAGAATTTAGCTCAGGTAACATAGGTTGAACAGAACAAAACAGACCTAGCTAAACTTCTTATTATTATTATGTTGATTTAATGGCGGGTTGCCAACCAACTTTATAGGTGCATACCGCCACCTACTGTGATGGAGTGTGAAAAGAATGAACTAAATTCTCCAAAATGATTTTATACAACCCACTATTCTTAATAAACCTCATGATTCCCTTTATTTGTTTTCCTGAATTTGGAACATTATTTACCTAGCTAAACTGAGACATGCAAACTTATATAGTGGCTGATCAGGCCATTCTGACACAAAAGGGGGTAGACCAACACATAATATATAAACAAACCACAATAATTACAACACATGTCAAACCAACGCTACCGTATATGAACTAAGGACAAAGCAATCAAATAAATCATAACAAAGTATAAATAGCAACAAAACTCAAAAATGTAACACTCAGCCACCCCCATGAAATGGGCATACATGGTGCAGTCCAATTAGCCATTCCCCTACTTAAACAGCTGAGAGTCAGTTGCAAATCCTCTTGCCTGTCACCCAGCCGAAGATCCCGAACAGCAACTGCCCAGGAAATGGTAACTCAAAAAGAAAAGCTATCAACTTCACAGAATGTAGCTTAAAGATAAAGAACCTGAAATTGGCTAAATTGAGAAAGTTAACTAAATGTGTGCACCCAAACAGAAAACCAAGTCAATTAACTAATAATATTTTTTAAAACTATGTGCATGTGTCCAGTTATTTATTTTGTACAATATGTAATGTGCTCAAAGCAAATGAAAGTTACCTGAGTTGAAGTTTACATGTGTGGCTGCTAGTGCGGCCATCACAGGCCTTAAAATGATAGTATCTTGATCAAGTGACTAACTTTTGACGTCAAATTGATATCAAGGTGCCTGCTGGTGCTACTGTAGTCTTTGATGAAGAGCAAGGTAATGTATATGAAGCACAATAGTGTCAGTATAACTATGACTATAGTGAGCTTGTGTTTGGTATCTTGCACCAATGGCATTGTAGCAACATAATAACAGCATTTCTGAGAACAGAAATGACTAAGCAAGACTGCGAGAACAACACTGGAAAAAAATACATTTGTGTTTTTAGCGCAAAGACGTTGTCAACGTTGTTAAAAATGCGCCCTCAATCACATGGATCCGTGGAAAAAAAAAAAAAAAAGCTTTCCTATTGATCCCAGGCCAATGGTTGGCGACGTCTCTTTGTAAGAAACACTATAGACTGGACACATATCAAACATGACATCACAGTTTTCACAAATTCACATTTTTGTGCTTTATACAGTGTCATTTTAAAACGCATCCACTTTGAAAGACGCTTTCAGCCTTGTCAGGCCCCCAAGACATTAGTTGAAAACAGAGTCATGTAAACGGCCCCTACACAGACTAACATAAACCAGCTAATCAACTGGCTAATGACCAGCGCATTATCAGGTTGGATCAGCTAATGGCCATCTTAGACCAGCTAATGGCTGGTTTAGACTGCGTAATGACAACACTGGTTGGTAATGACTATTTTAAACCAGTTAATAACTATTTTAAACCAGTAAATGTCAAATTTTTGATATTTTTGAATTGTGTCTAGTTCTTAAAAATGCATGTAGGCTAGCTATATAATATTACTAATGCATAAAACTTTTTTCTTCTATACTAATTCAGCAAGGCTACTTCAATCTGAATAAGGAAGAATCCTCCCCTCGAATGCCCAGCTAAACCCTCCCTCATCGTCCGTCACCCCTCATCCTCTCAAACTACGCATTGTAAACTCAAACAAAAAGTTAAGACATAAGGTGTGAGATCTGTAGACTTGCACTGGGACATTGACTTTGCAGCAGAGGAAATGCCCTCTAGCTCAGTCTGAGAGTAACTGAATCGAGACTTTGCCTCCAGAGAGTCGGCTTGCTGCTCAGTTGAGTGTTTGCGCTTCTAAGGGAATGAGCCTCGTATCCTGGCTCTGACAGGGAACCGGGAAGATGCTTTCTGGAGTCTATCATTTCACACTTGCGGCGCTTCTTGGTAAGTTTTTTTTTACTTTTATTGTGTCCTATTTTGGTTTCCATTACATGTTTGTTATTATGTAAAAAAAATCCGAGGGCGAAACTGCGCGCATTATTTATTCGGTGCATCATTCCAAATTCTGAGGATCATAGGCTACATAGCCTACATCATTTATTATTGACGATCTGGCTTAAGGCTATATGCACGTTTCCCTAATGCGGTCTGTTAAGATATTCTGAACATTATTTATTTATTTTGTAGACGTAGATAACATTACTTAAGCGCTTATTTACGCGGCGTTTTTGCGCTTCACACCACGTCCATGCTTGTACAGTGTGTATAAAATGTTTCCCTTACAATGCAATTATTATTATCACGTTAAGAGCAAGTGGACATTTCTTTTGGTTACTGAAATTTTGATAGTCTACTGCTTTCATTATTATCACCATAATTTTAAAGGTGCACTCTTTTTGATATCATTGAGAAAAAAATAACTGAATAAAGACTCACATCAGTCTTCTGGAATAAGCTGTTTTATTCTGTAAAGCAGGTTTATACAAGCTACACAGTTGGGATTACATGACTTGCTGCCTTGTGCAATTAAATAAGTTATTAATTATTATATTATAACAACAACATTATTATCTTTAATTTATATGGCACTTTCACTTTCATACATCCAAGTCAATAGGTGTCAGTAAAAAGTCCATTCAACTATTAGAATGAATTAAAGCCATTTAAACAAACAATCAAAAAAACAAAAAAACAAACAAACAAAAAAACGTACAGAGGGGACCTTTAAATATGAATCAATATTTTGGCTGTTGTCCGTGAAGCTGCCTATTGGCAACTTTTTAATCACCGTTCATGTAAAATGTAATTAATGTTATTAAATGGCAACTTTTTATGAGGAATAGCAATCAATGTACCCTTACTGTTTACCCAAACGAAGAGAGCTCCGATGTGTCCTTGGGTTCAGAGTCGTAGGAATGCATGTGATGCAGGCGCGTGACGTGCGTTAAGGAATTAAGTTGTGGATGCAGCTGCAGATAGAGGTTCACTTTGACTCACATTAGGTGCAGGCTCATCACACCATTGCTTCATTCATACACTTAACTCTAGTCTATATTGGCTAGCACATTTGATGGTCACTACCTGTGTAAATACTGGTTTTATGTTAGTGTAGGTCTTGTCCTTCACCTGCGCTTAGATCCTGCTAGTTTACAGATCCGTACCCTTGTGGACAACAGGGAAAATCTATATTTGGCTATGAGAGAGAGTCTCCTCCAGAGACCCAAAGACCCAGATGTGGGTATTGCAGTGGCAACATTTAAGCCATGTGAATTCCTAATGGAGATGAACGTGCAAGTGTGTTTGGTTTGAGACCAGAAAATTCATCTGTTTTCAGTCAGCAGTGTATATGGATGTGTGGGACATCACAGACATTTCACACACATGTCTAAAGGGTGTGGAACATGATATAAAAATCTGTATTGTGTATTGGGTCAGAATAGCTTTACAGTAGGTCTGTTAAATGCTGACTCAGAGCTGAATTTTTATAATTACCTTCCTTCTGTTTTCCTAATTGGTAAGTACGTAAAATTTAATAAACAAAAAACGTAAAACCTTACATTTTAGATGACTTTTCTGTATTATTATGTTGATAAATGGTGCCCACAATGACTTAAATCTCCCTTAAAATTCTAAAATAACAATTTTCAAATATTTATTACAATAGCCTGCCTGCTATATATCTATATGTTTGCATATTTCACTTATATTTACTATATTGTAGACTAATGCATACATTAAAGTTCATTTTGTGAATGTTGAGATTTTTTTCTATGGATTGTCCAGTGTTTATCTCCAGGCTTTGACAGGAATGCATTCCTACTGCATGTGCTTCATGTTCAAAATGCCTGCACTGTCTCATTTCATTCTTCCATGATAACACAAAATAAGATATTTTGAAAAATGTGAAACTTCGTTTTGCACCCCATTGACCTTCACTGTAAGAACAAGAACATTTATCAAAATATGTTATTTTATGTTTCACAGAATAAAGAAATTAAATGATGGCAGAAATGTATTATTTTTTGGACCAACTATCCCTTAGCGCAGAATCATTAACCTTGCTTCACTTCATCGAGTGATTTGTTTTTTAGCCTGTGCATCTAATATGTCTAACTGTAGATTCATTCCAACCCTTTCGTCTAATTTAATAATGTGCACCAAAAATAGAGTCATTAGGAGTTGAATGGTCAAGTATAGAGTGAGGCGGGCTGAATTTAGCCATCCACCAATCCTCTCGCTGGCATTAAGAAGATCTCCATAGTTATAAATCTAGAGCACTTACTGGCAAGGGCTTCAAATCTCCCAGAAGACCTTGCTTTGAACTGTCTTCTTCCATACTTGGAAACTTCGAAATGGCATTCCATTACATGCAGACAAGCCCCAGTCTTCTCAAAGGAAACACTCGGACTCATAATTATAGCAGAGTATGGCTGTTGACAGTATACATGGTTCATGTACTGTACTGTTCCTGAGAGAAGTAATCTGGAATTGATGGAACCCAAAAGAAGAGCAGGTTGTCCATGGAAAATATCAAAAAAGTTTGGCAAACCACCTAGTCTGAGAACTGGCACATAATGGGCAGTTCAGTTTAAATTATAATAATAGATATAATTACTGCTTTGGTGAGCCTCCAACTTAAACAACTATTCAAACAGCTACTGTGTAAACATTCACATTAAATATGATACGACTATGCGATTTGGAACGTTTCTCATTAATTGTTGTGATAAGGCTTGTTTTCCTGCTATTATGACATGATCACAGGAAGTATTCCGTGTTCCAGGGCATTTTAAACATTCTTGCTTGCTGGGAAAACTGCTCCTGTCATCTGCTTTATGCCAGTAGGCTGTCAAGAGCTGGAAAAGTACTGCTGGTTGTTTGGGCGAGTGAACCGGAGGCTGGCACATCTCTCTCTGCTGCTCTATTCCTCTGATCCATCAGATATGCCAGTGACTGATGTTTCTAATCCCATCTGCACATACTTAGCTTCCAGAGCTTCAAAAACATCCCCAAATTTGATCTACAAGTGACTTTGAAAGTCTTTCGTTTCTAGTTGTTCAAAAAACAAATGCGCTTATAGAATGACAAGGTTTATACAGTAGTTATCTACAATTTGGGGTAGTTCACCAAAAGATACAAAGTCTTGAAACTCTAGATGGCACAGTGGGCTGATAGGTCCTTAACTCAATCTGTTTGCAATCACATCATTCTTTACGGCACAGCTGATTGGTTCCCGCTGTATCAGTAGCTAATAGAGAATGCCAACTGTCAATGGAGAAATTGTATTGAATTTTTTACTTCCGGCACCGGCTGTGGGCGGGACTGTGATGCTATAAGCTGCTCAACATTCGAGTATTGGTCAGCATTTATTAGCAGTTTGCAATGTGCTTTTTCAGAAACCCTCCCTCTTCCCCAGCTCCACCTGTATAGATCTGCAATGGGTAATTCATGTATGCTATTGTTAAACAGCAGGGTTAGGGTTAAGTAACATGTCCAGTACTTGATCTGCAGCAATTACCAATAGCAGCGGAGGCATTGCAGATCTATTCCGACAAAAATGTGTCATCATTTACTCACCCTTAAGTCGTTTTAAACATATATGACTTTTTTCAAACAAATGTATTTTGAAGAATGTCTTATGTGATTTTGTCCATACAATGAAAGTCAATGGGGTCCAAAACAATAATAGTTTTTTTTTTGTTTTTTTTTTTTGCAACAGTAGAAAGTCCTAATGGTTTGGAACGACATGACATCCTCACCCTGGTGCACTAGAATTGAACTTTTGTTATAAATAGTGCATTTGACTTATTTTTTACTCCATTTCTTATCTAACTTTCTTGCATGTTTGAAACAAACAACTGTGATCTCATGCACTTAGTTTAACTTCAAAAAAGATACATAGGAAATAACACTTCTGAGACCGGAAGACTATTATTGTTCACGTTTAAAGATCTTTGCACCACTTTGTAATAACTATGAAGGGAAACTTGCAGTAGATCTCACTTTCCTGTCCTGCGTTCTGCTAGTGCAAAATGAACGTATTCACAGTTTTTTTTTTTTCTCAATTGCTTAGACATATTTTACTGAAATGAAATCTACTGTATATAGTTTCTCAAAACTGTAAGTACAAACTGGAAATGTTTTTGGAAAAAAATCAGACAGTTTAAAACTTAGTTCATTTAATTTAAGTCAGACTTTGCCTTCATAAACATCATAAAAGAACACTCATTACACGCTGTCAGATTTAATAAAAATAATATTACTATGGCCTCTTGCTACAGCAAATGAGATTTTACGGAGCAGCCTCAAGATATGTTAAACCTGGCGACATAATACTACAGTAATCTACATGAATTATTATCATGCTAAATAGAAGACTATCACATTTTAAACAATTCTTTAAAAAAAAAAATTTTTTTTTATTTGCTTACATTACTGGGTAAATTAAGCATGATTTAAAGAAAAATATCTTTGCAACTATCAGTTTGTAACATTTTTTAAACAAAATACTAAGAATTATATTTCTTAGATATTCAACCAGACACTAAGAGGCACAGTTTAAACGACAAATATGCAATTACGAGACGTTTACAAGAAGTTACTGTACTTCATCTCTCTTGTTTCTGTCATATACCTTCTAGCTTTCCATAGAAAGGGTCAACTGCAGTAGCACAGATCACATCAGACACAAATGTTTGGGTGTTACATACCAAGAGGGAGCCAGGCGGTTACAGGGTTGGGTGTGAGAAGGGAGAGGGATTTGTGATGTCAGATTTGTGATGCTGTTTCAGAAGCGCTTATTCTTATCTTTTTAAAGCAGGATTCCTTGAAATGAGTACTGTAGTAATGAAACGTTACCCTGTTCTCACCATTAAATGTTCAGACATTTTGAAACATCTTAAAAACATAACCCTAGGTGACCTCTGGTGACCTCTCTCTCAAAG